TCAACCATGTTGCAGCTCTCAAAGAAGTCTGTAAGTGGAAAAAATTTGAATTTTTCTTCTACAAATCATACTTTTCTGCACTCTACTTAGAGCTTAATGGTTAACAAGGAAAAAACCAGTTCTTTCTTTTTTTATTAAAAAAAATCTAGGTAATTGGGCAGGAATTATGCTTTTTGATGCTAAACTTGGAAAGCAGTTGAAGGAATATGCAGCAGCGGCAAAAGTCTATAAAAGACTGCCCGTTTTTCATTTTCAAATTCTAAAATAAAAGTCTACAAAAGCTTTGCTGGAACTCTGACATTCCGCGTTCCATTGTTCGTATATTCAAATTAAATTGCAAATGGAAAAGCAGCTAGGTATATGTGGTTTCATTCCCTTTATTCGATAGATACAAAATAGCTTGAATTAAGTTTCCAAAAGGGCCACTACTACTGAAGTTTTTTTGTGAGATCTGACTGTATTAAAGGCACTTTATTGATCTGAACCTTTGTCATCTTCACATCCTTAAACTGTGCCAAAAGGCGCACACAGATAGTTGAAAAGTAATATACAGTGGATTCGTCAGAGAATAGCTAATCCTCAGCAAGAATTCTTCTACAAAAGTTTCTATAAACGAAAACCCAACATTTCCTAATCGTTCCCCATCGAAAAAGCGAAATTACTTCAAAATCTTTCTGAGAACCGTTCAGAGCATAGCGAGTCTAGTATGAAATTGAATTCCACTTCCTGTGAACAGCATGCAATTGATACAAGGGAAAACCGGAAGTTTTAATAGCAGCGGAAGAAAGAATCCATGGAAAGAACTGGACCGGCCTCATCACCTGTCAACATTTTACAACCGTAAGAGGGTTTTAGTGCATCTGACTCAGCTTTCGCCAAGAATTCACATCCTGACCCCATGGAATCACCTCGCAGCGAACGCATTACTCCAATTGCCGTGCACGTCATTTGCGTCAGCACGCGCCATACGAGCGTCGACGTCGTGCTGGCGGCGTTCCAAATCCTCCTCATGCCCTGTTTTGTAGTCTGGCAGTAATTTTGACTTTGATGTTGCGTTGTAATCATCCATATGCGGTACTATTTCGTCTTATATGTTCTTGTTTTATTTTGCTTTCATATTTTCGCTTTTACTTCTTATTCTTCCAGAACTAGATGCCGTATTGATGCTCAATTGTTTTGTCATTGAAAATACCAACTAATAAATCACTTATTTGAAAATGGAACTTGCTTCTCGAAGTGAACGTCAACAGCTCGCTGCTCTTGTGGAGCAATGGAATGAAAATCGGCTAGATCTGTTCCATCTCAGTTACCCCACAGAGGTTAGTGTGCGATCTTTTAGAAGATTTGCATTGGTTTTTTTTATTCAAATGCAACGATAGACGTCACCACTGTTTGATTTGTTGCAGAATTTATCAACAATTAAAATGGCAATAAATCTCTCCTTGTTTTTCTCATACTTTTTCTAAACTCGTGCCATGAAAAAAAACGCAGAAAAAAAAAACGACAGATGCTTTCGGGGATCATCCGTCTTAAAAATCAGTGTGAGGGGGCAATTCACCTAATAATGATCTCTATCCTTAATTTCGTTTTTTTAGGATCTCGAAATCGAAGGGGTCATGCGGTTCTACTTCCAAGTAAGTCCTCATTCCCGCTACTATTTTCATTTGCTTGGATTTTGGTTTTTGTCTTCTTTCTAGAACTCATCTCTTCTCATTATTTCTTTGTCGGAATCATTTTGCTTTGTTCGTACTTCTCGCAGACGTTTTTCGCTAAAGTGTCAGCGATGGTCGTGACCTTGACACGTCTACGTCTAATCGCCTACATTTAACGTCTCGTTCTTTCCACTGTGATTGCCTTTCATGGATCACGAAATGGGTTTTGTATCAGCTGTTGCTTGAGAATCAAGTTTATAACCTTTTTTTACGGTGCAGACATTGACATCAATGTTATGTAGAGCCGCATACTGAGTCGTTATTCAATTTGGGAAAGGACAGTCAGTCTTTGATTAAGATAAATCACTCACAAAAGTGGACCTGCGGACTTACGGCTAGAAAGGTCCAGAAGTAACCACGATTTATGTGCTTTATAGGCATCTGGCTGCGCTGCCATCATGCCCGCAGTTGTAAATGTTCTCTTATAGGAATCGAAGATAGCTGAAATAGACTAGTAGCATTGAAGTAGTTATTATATGCTGCTTTGACTATATATCATTGAATAGTATGGAACTACATCTGTAAAGCCTTGTGTGAAGTTTCAGCCATTGAGAGTAGAAAATGTCAAATTATAGTTCTAAAAGGATTCAGTCAATTTAACAGCTAGTTTGTAGTGAAGGTAGTTTCTTGTAAGTAATCCACAAATCAAATCCTCTCTATTTATTGGAGACTTCTCGACTCTTTCAAATGAGCTACTGGTTGGCAGATTAAAAAGCTTTTCTGTTGGGGAATTTCAGCGGACAGAGGCATTATCGAGTATTTGCGAAATGAGTTCCATTAGTTTTTTTTTGCAGAAGAAAGAACATTGTCTAATTTTGACATTTGATTTGCGTAAACTGTTCACACCGCTGTGAGTGTTTAAGAATCTCAAAATATGTAAGGCTGACTAAAATAGGGGAATGTTTTGGAGAATGTAGTGTTATTCGCCCAATCCCATTGTTTCTTTATTCGTACTTGCTACATCTTTGATACGAATCACTCTTCTGTGGAAGGTGTCCTAGTAACTAATGTTCTTGTGTTTTTGGATGTCATCCACAACATCCAATTCGAGGGGATCAGAAGCAATAGACGTAAATTCCTTTTTGTAGGATGGTGGCGAGCGCGTGCTCACCAAATGTGTACGAGTATCCAGCACGGCTACTACCCGTGCCGTAGTTGAAGCATTAGCAGAAAAATTCCTCCCCGATTTGAAAATGCTCTCAGATGATACGTATAGTTTGTGGGAAGTGAGTTCTTTCACCATAATTTGTTGGACTATCACAAACTTGCTATCTTCTTTCATTAAAATCATTCGAATTTTTCTAAAACTAAATATGGAAGAGCCCAGGTTCATGAAAGTGGTGGTGAACGCCGATTGGATGATGAAGAAAAGCCCTTGCTCGTACAACTTACATGGCATCGGGACGATAGAGAAGGGAGGTTCCTATTGCGTAAAAATCGCCAGGGCTCGACTCCACTTTCGGTACCCTTTTCTTTTTCCCTGTTTATAAATAGTTTTACACTGTTCAGACAATACAACTCCCCAGTGATGAGGATATCAAAAGGAATACGAAACGATTCTCGAAAAGAGAG